TTCCTCATCCAAAGATCATCAAGTTAAATTAATTTTAAAGACAACCACCAAAAGTAAAAAAAAAAAAAAAATTACCATTTTAGAATTATATTTGACTACATAGTCAGACTTCAAAAAAAAAAAAAAAACAGGCTTCAGATCTGTATGGGTTAATTTATTATGATGTAAAAAAAAAAAAAAAAAAAAACACATTATTAGTTTCACTTACAAACTTAATTTGTACTACCAAAAAAAAAAAAAAAGCAAAGGATACAGTGGTTAAGAGACACTTCACCTTTACTTGTAAAAAAAAAAAAAAATTAGTGACAACATTTGGATATATAGCTTTTATAATAAAAACAAAAAAAAAAAAAAAAAAAGATTTATCTTAATTGTTAAGGAGGTAAAAACACAAAAAAAAAAAAAAAAAAAAAATTTATCACCGGCCATGGTAGCTCATGCCTGTAATCCCAGCAAAAAAAAAAAAAAAAGGGGGCAGATCACCAGGTCAGGAGACCTAGACCATCCTGGCTAAAAAAAAAAAAAAATGACTCTACTAAAAATACAAAAAATTAGCCGGGCATGGTGGCAAAAAAAAAAAAAAATAGCTACTTGGGAGGCTGAGGCAGGAGAATGGCATGAACCCAAAAAAAAAAAAAAAAAGTGAGCCGAGATCGCGCCACTGCACTCCAGCCTGGGCAACAAAAAAAAAAAAAAAATCAAAATAAATAAATAAATAAATACATACATACATACATACAAAAAAAAAAAAAAAAAAATAAAGATTTATGAAGTGTACTTACAATTTATTGACTGGCAAAAAAAAAAAAAAATCTGCCTGATGTGGTCAATTTGAAATGGCAGAAAGCTGTTTTAAAAAAAAAAAAAAAAAGTACTAAGCCCCAGCAGTTCAAACACAATACAAACATGACAAAAAAAAAAAAAAAATTCCAGCATCTGGACACATCGGCTAAAAGAGAGCAAAATAATAATTCAGTTTACGCAAATCTGAATATTTCATGTAATAAGATGGCTCCTAGGTTAAAAAAAAAAAAAAAAAACACTATTGGGATCAGTACTATTTAAGTGCTCTAATACTTGGATTTCTGAACGAGCTGCTTCACGGTAACGGCCTACGTTTTTTACGATTTTCACTGCTAAAAAAAAAAAAAAAATTAAAAATAAAATTAAGATAAAAATGATAAATGTACAGGAGTAAAAAAAAAAAAAAATATGCTCTAAAGCATAATCTTAATGACCAGTTCCTCTATGCCAAAAAAAAAAAAAAATCAGAACACATTATAGCAGATTCCATATAACATCATCTCAAAACATTTTGATAAAATACTTTACATGAAGTGATAATTCCCTTAATACTTATGAGTTTTAACATTTGCTCCCAGAATTTTAAATTTAATTACATTTTATACAACAACAGTTTTAAAAAAAAAAAAAAAAAATAAACCAAAAATAGAATACGCTACTGTTGAAAGTATTCATTCATTTACCAGGCTAGGCCTACTCTGTGCCAGGCAATGCACAGGTATTAGTGATTAAAAAAAAAAAAAAAAAAATACGTACTTCGAAGTCTAATGGAAAAGAGAGACACATAAACAAAAAAAAAAAAAAAACAGAAGAGGCAGCACAGAACTGAGTCCTGAAAGATAGCTGGGAAAAAAAAAAAAAAAGAGGGAAACATCCAGGTAAAAGAGACACCAACTCTAAGTAATGAAGCCCAGAAAAACCTTAGCAGATGCACTGATGCAAGTATACTGGAACAGCTGCAGGGGAGGGCACTGGGCTTCAGACTGGGGCATCTGTTAAGAATGCTTCCTAAAAAGCATAAAAAAAAAAAAAAATCAAATCTTCTACTTCTTTTTGTCTTCCTTTTTAAACCTAATAAAAAAAAAAAAAAACCAGCATTCAAGCCTTCTTTTTCACTATGGCCCTTCCACTTTAAAAAAAAAAAAAAATCTCTTACTAGTATAACAAGATGTATGCCCTAGGCTATAAAAAAAAAAAAAAAAAAACACACACATATTCTAATGGCTGGATACGAAACCTTTTTCCACAAAAAAAAAAAAAAAATTCATTGCTTTCAACAAGGCCCCAATGAATGTGAACCGATAAAAAAAAAAAAAAAATTTTTGATGTTTGGCATACACCTCAAGACTTAAAAGAACTCTAGTAAGATTACTGTGACAAAGCTTCTACTCCTATCTATTTAATTATATGACCAAAAAAAAAAAAAAAAAAAAGTATCCATAAAAACGAAAAAAGAAAACAAACAATGCTAAACAAAAAAAAAAAAAAAAATGGCTACATGTCCTCATTTTTTTAGAGGCCTCAACCACCCCAAAAAAAAAAAAAAACCAGGCCAGATATGGTGCAGGGGTGTGCCACACGTGACTACAAAAAAAAAAAAAAAATCCCAGCACTATGGGAGGCTGAGGCAGGAGGATCACTTGAGGCCAGGGGTTCCACACCAGCCTGAGCAACATAGTGAGACCCCGTCGCATTAAAAAAAAAAAAAAAAAAAAAAAATTTCATTAAATACACCACGACTTAGACTTTCAAGAAATTCTAAAAAAAAAAAAAAAGGATGGCTAGTGAAATCTGAATATAGTCTGCAGATTAGCTGGAAAAAAAAAAAAAAATATGTATGTATAATGATAAAGTAAATCTTATAAAATGTTAACAAAAAAAAAAAAAAAGTGAAGAATACATGGGAATTCTTTGAACTATTTTATTAACTTTTCTCTAAGTCTGAAAATATTTCAAAATACTTTAAAGTTCAATTTACCTTCACATATAAAAAAAAAAAAAAAAAAATGTGGGGATAATTTAGGAAAATATTTATGGAAAGTGAAAAAAAAAAAAAAAAAATAATAAAACATTTCTAAGTATTCAAGAAGAGTTTGTTTATGAAAAAAAAAAAAAAACACGCTGCTATGGTATTTAGATTCCCTCAAATGCATTTAAAGAAAAAAAAAAAAAAATTCTTAATATTAATATTTACATCCAGTTGGAAATTACATCCTAAAAAAAAAAAAAAAGATAAAAAATTTTAAGTCATTTTAGAAATGTGTAGTTTCACTACAGTTCTAAGAGCTTCACTTACAAAAAAGTTTGCAAGCCACAAAATAGAGGTCCTAAAAAAAAAAAAAAAAATGAGGCAGAAAGGGTCAAATCACAAACTTTATTCTCTAGGCAAAAAAAAAAAAAAATTCTTTATAGTTTAGGAAGCTAACTCTTAACATTTAAGATTAAAAAAAAAAAAAAAACTCTGCAATCTGAAATTGCCAAATCTTGTATACAGGGTCAAGAAAAAAAAAAAAAAAGTTCTGGGAAATTCCTTCACTTGAACATCCACTTTAATTTCAAAAAAAAAAAAAAAAAAATTGGTCTTTTTTTTTTTTGAGACGGATTTTCACTCTTGTAAAAAAAAAAAAAAAGCAATGGCGTGATTTTGGCTCACCACAACCTCCGCCTCCCTCCCCTCCCGGGTTCAAGTGATTCTCTTGCCTCAGTCTCCCAAGTAGCTGGGATTACAGGCATGTGCCACCACACCTGGATAATTTTGTATTTTTAGTACAGACAAAGTTTCTCCATGTTGGTCAGGCTAGTCTCGAACTCCCAACCTCAGGTGATCTTCCTGCCTTGGCCTCCCGAAGTGCTGGGATTACAGGCGTGAGCCACTGTGTCTGGCAGTCAGCATTCTTAAGAAAAAAAAAAAAAAAAAATTAATCATACACAGTTCAAGAAATTTTGGTAAGTAATTTACCCCCTAAAACACGTGGCTACCATTTAAAATATATTCCATCTTGGCTGGATACGGTGGCTCAGGCTTATAATCCCAACGTTTTGGGAAACTGAGGCGGGTGGATCACTTGAGGTCAGGAGTTTGAGACCAGCCAGGTCAACATGGTGAAACCCCATCTTTACTGAAAATACAAAAACTAGCTAGGTGTGGTGGCAGGCTCCTGTAATCCCAGCTGCTCCAGAGGCTGAAGCAGGAGAATCACTTGAAGCCAGGAGACAGAAGTTGCAGTAAGCCAAGATGGCGCAAAAAAAAAAAAAAATGGGCAACAAAGGCCCTATCTCAAATAAATAAATTAATTAATTAAATAAAATGTCATCTAAATTATGAATCTTTCCCCACCAAAAATATCAGAATGTTCAAAAAAAAAAAAAAAAACTTACATGCCATGATCAATGCACTCTACAACTTTGCCAAAAAAAAAAAAAAAAAAAGTGTCCACGATTTCATCTAAAGTGAGGAGGGAAAAAGAGGTGTAAGTACCTGAGTACAAATTGTCTAGTTACTCAAACAATGAATGCTTAAGTGTGGAATATTTTCAAATGATCTCTATCAAAGCATAACTAAGGTTTCAGCACTCAAATTATTTTAGTTTCAGCTGCTACAAAAACAATTAGATAGAGCTATCTTTCTTGCTCTAATCTCAAAAAAAAAAAAAAAATTTGGAACTTTAGAATAGAAATATTTAAATTCTACAGAAAAGAAGAAATACAAAAGAACAAACAAACCCACAAAAAACAAAATAAAAAAGCAATGAAGAAAAAAAAAAAAAAAAGCTGACAAACTATTCTTAAAAAGATTATTCTTTCTGCAAAGTTTAAAAAGTGTTGAAAAATATTCTATACATCTTGCTCTTAGAACGTCTCCACTTTGAAAAAAAAAAAAAAAATCCTCATCATCCTCTATACTCCTGGATCTTTTCCTTCGGTGGAAAAAAAAAAAAAAAAAGTGGGCAGCACCAAGATCGTCCAGCCAATCAATATATCAGAAAAAAAAAAAAAAAGAATACGCAATTCATTCAGCGGGGAGATATTCAGGCATTCAGAAAAAAAAAAAAAAACGAACAGTTGGCAGGAGCAATTTCAAATTCAGTCCCCAGAAAAAAAAAAAAAAAAAATTATGTTACAGAAGAAAAACATGGCAAGGAACAGATTTTCAGATAAGATACTTAAAGTGGCAATAGAAAAAAACAACACAATTGTCTCTTTAAAATACTGATTTAATTGAAGTCTGAAATTTAAAGAATGCAATGTCATGATTTACTTATCTCTTGAAAAAAAAAAAAAAAGCTGTGAATTGAGATGTCTAGTTTGTCAGAAAAATGTTTTCAAATGTCAAGACTATTTGAAATTATTCTAATTTAGCAATATTTTAAAATATACATGATAAAAAAAAAAAAAAAAATAAAGGCTAGTTAATTTCAATGTTCAATCTAATAAAAACTAAAAAAAAAAAAAAAAACTTGGGGAGAAACTAATTCAAAGTTCACTGTTCAAGCAGGAAAAAAAAAAAAAAAACAAAAAAAAAAGGGGTGGGCAGACTATTTGGATGTTTCCCAAAAAAAAAAAAAAAACACAACTTCAAAAGAATTCACTGCAGACAATGATGCACTGTAAAAAAAAAAAAAAAACTATGTAGGTTAGTAACATTTAGGTATCCACCAGTGCAATGTTTCACATTTGTTTTCAAGTACCAGATAAAGGGTTTCTAAGGAGAAAAAAAAATGCTTAAAAAAAAAAAAAAATGCATGATTTTTTTGTAAGAATATGTTACAAATACAAAAATATTTTTATTATTAAAATCAATAAACTCATGATCTGGTCTGCAGAATATGAGGAAATGTAAAAAAAAAAAAAAAAATAAATATATAGATCAGCTACAAGAATCTGGAGGTTTCCTTTAAGGATTTGAGTAACATAAATACAATTACAATATATCCAAATAGTATTTTATATATAAAAAAAAAAAAAAAAACTTATCAGCTCATTAAGAGTACACACAAATAAAACTCCACAAAAAAAAAAAAAAAAATCAATCATACCGAACGTGACTGATGACTTGAACAGTGTCTATTGCGCTTCCTTTTAGGACTGCTTCTCCTGCTGCGGACTGAAGATTTACTGCAGTGAAAAAAAAAAAAAAATTCAATGTCTCTGTGATAATGTCTAGGAACATATCCTTCACAGTAGTCATTCCTGTATTCGTCAACGTATCTCCGGTCCCGATAATCTCGCTCATTCAAAAAAAAAAAAAAAAAATAATGACTGCAAACACATTAAAAGATTTCAAATTATTCTCTTCATTCTGCAATAATGTGGTTCAAACAAAACATTTTTCTCAAAAATTCTTGGTTTAAAAAAAAAAAAAAAAATAAGAAAAAAATTCAAACAGATGAATTAGCATTTATATGTATAAAAAAAAAAAAAAAAAATAATTTTACTTCAACAAACAAGCAAATGGGCCCATTATAAAAAAAAAAAAAAAACATTTCACACCGAGGAATAAAGCTTGAGTCACATCATTAATTAAAAAAAAAAAAAAACTTGATTAAGTGTTCCTTTACCTTCTGCACCTGTATCTAAGCAAAAAAAAAAAAAAACAGAGGTACAATCAGAGGCAGGCAAAAAAGATTCCTTTGTCTAAAAAAAAAAAAAAATTTTAGATATCCCTGGCACACAGAGAATTCTTTCATGAAAGGAAAAAAAAAAAAAAAAGGAGCCTTAAATGTATTCCAGCCCTTTCATTTTACCGATGAAAAAAAAAAAAAAAATAGAAGAAAAATGATTTGCCAAGGTTGTATAGCACATTAGTGAAAAAAAAAAAAAAATTTTCTAACCGCTATTATACAAGCCAATATTATTACACACATAAAAAAAAAAAAAAACTCTACTCTTTGCATTTCTAGCCTTGTTATTCCTGTTTGAGATATAGACAACGTAGCTTTTGAGGACTGCCTCATGTGCCAAAGGCATCTAAAATATATAAAAAAAAAAAAAAAAAGGGATCCTGCAGTTTAGAATTACAGTAGTTCTACCACCGTACTTCCCTTTGCACTTCTAATTTCCTGTCATTCCTGTTTGAGAAGTATGTAAGAAACAAAAAAAAAAAAAAACCTCTAGTGCCATAGTGCTTTAATCTACAGATCCCTTTGAAAAAAAAAAAAAAAAAATGGACTCTCTTCCCCAAGAAACACATAAACAAAACTTGGCAAAAAAAAAAAAAAAAAATGGACCTCAGGATGTCAATGGATCCCAGTTAAGTAGCCTTGATCTGATGGAAAGAAAAGGACATAGATTCATTTGGCCCAGTTTCCCGTCCCCCTCTCTACCTGGGATGAGTGTCCTCTTCAACAGAGTGCGAAGCTTCAAGAGGGATGCACATGGAGCACTGAGGGAGAGAGGGGACACCTGCCCAGTCAGACAAATCGGCTAAAATAATCAAAAAAAAAAAAAAAGTGACGGATGTTGACTAGATTGCCCTCACCAACCCCTTTCCTAAAAAAAAAAAAAAATGTCATTCTTTTTCCCAGGGGGCTCGTTTTGGCAGAAATAAAAAAAAAAAAAAAAAAACTACCCAATAGGGCTAGTATCAAATCCAGGCTGGGGAGATAAAAAAAAAAAAAAAACTCTCCCTAGCGTCAGCTTTAAGTGGTATTTATTGGAGAAACAAAAAAAAAAAAAAAGGTAAGACTGTGGGCAGTCTAGGTTAGAGATCTGATCAGTTGGCTTGGAACTGTCAGGGAGAGACCACCAACACAATAAGCTAGAAGTGACCATACTCTAAAAAAAAAAAAAAACATAAAAGTCCAAAATCCTTCTACTAGAAAAAACTAACACTAAAAAAAAAAAAAAAAAATACTGCATGAAGTTAGAGCTGCTAAGCCATAAACAATAATAAAAAAAAAAAAAAAATGGAGTGAACACCATGAGGACAAACTAAAAGGATGAGAGTCAAAAAAAAAAAAAAAGGCCAATGACCAAGGCTGAGAGATTATATAAACAAAGTCTACAAAAAAAAAAAAAAAATGGAAAGGGTAGACAGGATGAACAGACTGATTTAATTTTTTAAAAAAAAAAAAAAATGCCCAGTGAATATTTCACTATAGCCTTTAAAATAGCCAAGAAAAAAAAAAAAAAAAGCATTCGTTTTTATATATCCACAGGTCCTGTGGGAGATAAAAAAAAAAAAAAAAAAAGGCAAAGTCCCTGCCAACAAATAATGAACAATTTGAGATTACAAAAAAAAAAAAAAAACAAAATCCAACAATGTAGGAAATTCTAAAAAGTTACAACACAAAAAAAAAAAAAAACAGAGATGGGGAAAAAAATCTGTTTAAAATGGTCAGAGAATAAAAAAAAAAAAAAAAGAAATAGAGTTGCATCTTAAAGGGAAGCCAGGATTTGGACAAAAAAAAAAAAAAAAAAAATTCCGGTGGAGAAGAATGGCATGTTACCATCTTAAATTCATATGGCACTTTTAGCCACAATGGCTTAGAGATGGATTTGTCTATGCAATACTCAGGAAAAAGGCAATCCTGGCAAGAGCAATTTTCACACAGGGGAATGTAGACAAATAAGCAAAAAAAAAAAAAAAACATTAAAAGCCCTGCATGCTAGGCTAAAGAGTATTTCTCAAAAAAAAAAAAAAAAAACAGCAATATCAAATATGGAGTTCTTATTAAAAATGGTAACCCAAAAAAAAAAAAAAAACTCACTGACTCTAAATCTGGTCAACATACCTCCAAGGTGATAAAAAAAAAAAAAAAAGTTGGAGAATCACTGCTTTAAGACTTGATACTTTATGTTACAAAAAAAAAAAAAAAATATAAAGATAGGGTTTACAGCCACATCAGTCTTTCTAATGCAGAATGGATTAACTAAGCCTGTAGAAAGGGAGACCAATTCACAGGCTACCTCCAAAAAAAAAAAAAAAAAAAAAAGACACTATGCAACATATATATGACAAATGGTTAAAATAAAAAAAAAAAAAAAAATCTTCTAAATCAATAAAATATACTTTAATAAACAGGCTAAGAAAAAAAAAAAAAAAAAATGATCAATACTTATGTGACAGTGGACAAATTTGTTAGAAAAAAAAAAAAAAAAAATAATCAAAACATTATTCTTGGCCTTTCAAAACAGCCAAGATTAAAAAAAAAAAAAAAGGGCACGGTGTATAATTTGGCAAACTTTCTAGAAAAAGAAATAAAAAAAAAAAAAAAGAAACTTTTAAGAGTTCATATCTTTTACCTTAAAAATGCTTCAAAAAAAAAAAAAAATTTTTTGAGGCGGAGTCTCGCTCTGCCGCCCAGGTTGGAGTGAAAAAAAAAAAAAAAAGCTCACTGCAAGCTCCGCCTCCTGGGTTCACGCCATTCTCCAAAAAAAAAAAAAAAGAGGCTGGGACTACAGGCGCCCACCACCTCGCCCGGCTAGTTAAAAAAAAAAAAAAATTAGTAGAGACGGGGTTTCACCGTGTTAGCCGGGATGGTCTCAAAAAAAAAAAAAAATGATCCACCCGTCTCGGCCTCCCAAAGTGCTGGGATTACAGGAAAAAAAAAAAAAAATTGGAGTGTATTTTCAGGAAATAATCAGCAGCAAAGATTTAGAAAAAAAAAAAAAAATTTTAAATTATAATTTTACAGCTAAATAACGGGGACTAATAGAAAAAAAAAAAAAAAATCTTTCTACTTTTCTGCATTTTTCAGTTTTTTGTTATTTTAAAAAAAAAAAAAAAATTTTTGATCTTCAAAATTAGAACATTCTGGATTATGGTGAATAAAAAAAAAAAAAAACATATGGTACCAATGTCAAAGAAGGTATTGGCCTGGTGGTTAAAAAAAAAAAAAAAAATGTTTATGTAATTAACTATGAGCATGAATGAACTGTTCATCAAAAAAAAAAAAAAATTTCTACATATATAACGTATAATTATCCTATTATCCTATGAGAAAAAAAAAAAAAAACGTTAAGCCTTAGGGTTTTTTGTATTTATTAATAGTGGGGTAAAAAAAAAAAAAAAAAGTATACTGTACATTAAATATTAATTATTTCTGGTCTTTGAAAAAAAAAAAAAAAAATTCCCACTTCCCCTTATATAACAATGTGTATGAAGCATGATTAAAAAAAAAAAAAAACAAATAAGCTCAGTTTGGCAGAACAAGTCTGTTAACGTGGAGAAGGAAAGAAATTACATACTGTTTTTTAAAGTAACCCCAGCTGGCTAATTTAGAAAGCAATCTGGTAAACAGTCCCAATGGAACATCTGCACAAAACAAGAAGAAAACAGAACCAACAAAACAAACGAAAAAGGGAAATTAATGAAACAGTGAAAGAAACCTACCTAGCCTAAAAAAAAAAAAAAAGAACTTTAAGATTCCTTTAATTCTATATAAATGTATTACCTCAAAAAAAAAAAAAAATAAGAATACAATACAACAGGACACATGCTGTTGCAAGTTTTTAAAAAAAAAAAAAAACCAAATTACTAGCTACTACCTATGAAAACAATAGTTCTTAAAAAAAAAAAAAAAAAAAAAATCCCAAACAAACATATCCCTTGGCCTCATCTACAAATAAAAAAAAAAAAAAAAAGTATAAGTGACTAATAATACACGTTGCTTTTCTCTGTTGGAAAAAAAAAAAAAAAATAAAACCCTATCTGATTTCTGAAACACTTAATGAGCACTACAAAAAAAAAAAAAAAATCTTATATACAAATTAAAGGTACGCATTGGGCATTCGATCACTATTACTTAACTTTTTGTGTGTCATCTCCCTAGTCACGTTACTGGCAGCTGGGACTCACCATGTTATTTAATACATTTTACATTCACTTACTGATCAACTGTCTCCTACCACTCCCAGGGAGACAGACATACATAAGGATAAGAACTTTGTTTTATTCACAGCTGCAGCCTAAAAAAAAAAAAAAAAAAATAAGTACTCAAATATTTTCTAAATGAGTATTTGTTGACAAAAAAAAAAAAAAATTTGACAGATGAAAGCTATACAAGCAAATGACAAATCATTTAAAAAAAAAAAAAAAACAATGCTACTAGTTCAAGAGTTGATTTACCAATCAGATTCTTTAAACTGGTGACATGGTTTACAATGCCTGTTCTCTTGTGTGCTACTATGAGATCTCCTCTTCCGCTTGTGACTTCCACGGTAGCTTTCATGTCCCCAGCTTTCTCTGCTATCCCAAAAAAAAAAAAAAATTCGTTTGGAATGCCGCATCTGTTGATAGAAATGAAAAGGGAAAAAAAAAAAAAAAAGATGTGTGATAGGTAAAATATTATATATATTAATATTATTTAAAAAAAAAAAAAAAACAGGGTCTTAGAGGCTCCAAATTCTTTTTAGCTGGTAATGTTAAAAAAAAAAAAAAAATGTCAGATGACTGCTAAGAGGCATAGAGATCTAGTATTAAAAAAAAAAAAAAAAAAATACCTTAAGACATTTTTTTTGAATTCTGATTACATCCAGGAAAAAAAAAAAAAAAAGTGCTTGTCTTCAACTAACACTTGCAAACTGACTTTTTAAAAAAAAAAAAAAAAAAAAAAAAAAAAAGGGCCAAATGAAAAGGTTCAGGGGTACCGTTTAAAAAAAAAAAAAAAATTTAGCTAAAAATTAATAACTTTTTTGTTTTATTTATCTTGAAAAAAAAAAAAAAACTTATTAGTGATTTTCCAATTAAGTCATTGACATATTTTCTTAAAAAAAAAAAAAAATTAAAATGTGAGCTGATTTAAGGAGAAATAATATCACAGTGTAAAAAAAAAAAAAAAAATTACTGTAATACAAATAACTTTAGTGCGAGACAAAAATACAAAAAAAAAAAAAAAATGGGAGGTGACTTTGTTTTAACTGTAAAGAGCTATTCAATGATGAAGCTTTTTTTTCTCAAATTCTCCACAGTTCTTTTCTCTAACTCTCAGAATGACTCTAAGCTTTGAGAATATTAGTTCTGTGTGGAGAGAACACAATATTCAACAGAGAAAAAAAAAAAAAAAAAAAAGGTGATTTTAGGCCGGGTGCAGTGGCTCATGCCTGTAATCCCAGAACTTTGGGAGGCCAAGTCCAGGAGTTTCAGACCAGCCTGGGCTACATATAATAAAAAAAAAAAAAAACAAAAAAAAATTTTTTAATGTTTATGTTATTTTATGAACTCAAAAAAAAAAAAAAAAAAGTTCATTTTCTTATCCAGCAGTTATTCTTAAACTTAAAATAAAAAAAAAAAAAAACTGAAGTAACCCTGAAAAAGAAATCAGCCTACAAGGATGCACAAAAAAAAAAAAAAACAGTGAAATCAAACGATAACAGTGACATCTGACTCTATTTACAAAAAAAAAAAAAAAACCTGGTTCCTTCCAGGCTCAGCATCTGTGCTCAAACAATATAACCCCTATCTGTCTCTCCCCATCTTAATTATTTTCCAAAGCACAATCAGGTCCAAAAAAAAAAAAAAAAAATAGTTTAAATGGTAAAAAGAGAAGAATTTCACAATTCAGTAAAAAAAAAAAAAAAAATAAAATGGAGTAAAATCCACTTAGTTAACCTCATTCAGCTTGAAAAAAAAAAAAAAAAGCAAACGAATGCAAGTAGAAATTTAAATGATTTTAAATGGATTAAAGGCTTTGAAATGAGGCAGCTTCAATTCTTCTGGGAGGTATTCCACAAGAAAGAAAAAAAAAAAAAAACAGAGTCTGATTGCCACCAGATAGTCAGATATTTTCATTCACTCTCTTGCTGATTCTAATTCTATACCCATCAAGCATCCTTCTAATGTGGCTCTTAGCAAAAAAAAAAAAAAAAGAGAAGGCACTGATCAGGTCAAACAGAAATTCTAAAACTCTAAAAAAAAAAAAAAAGGAAGTGAGCATTCCGGTTTGATACAAATGGAGTCACTTCCAAAAAAAAAAAAAAAATGAGTAACAGCACAAATTTACTTGAGGCAAAAGGCCAGAACACAAACTTTCTTCATTAGAGCTATCAAGAAAAATTTACGGTTGGGCGCAGTGGCGCCTAAAAAAAAAAAAAAAGGAATTCGAGACTAGCCTGGGCAACAAGGTGAAAGCCTGCCTAAAAAAAAAAAAAAAAAAATGAATCGCACATGGTGACTTGAGCCTGCAGTCCCAGCTAAAAAAAAAAAAAAATAAAGCCCAAGGAAGTCAAGGCTTCAGTGAGCCATGATCACGCCATTGCATTCCAGTATGGACGACAGTGAGACCCTGTCTCAAAAAAAAAAAAAATAAAAAAAAAAAAAAAAAAATAAATTTCAAGTGCAATTCTTCTGAACCGTTCCGTCAAATACCAAAGTTGTATTTTAACCACATCAGGAACTCAGCTTGGTTAAATATTTTTAAATCAAAAAAAAAAAAAAAACATCTGATGACCGAGGGTTATTATTATCAACCTCCATTATTATGAAGTTTTTTCAAGACTTCTGTGTCTGCCTCAGTTTTGTTTTTTCCTCTTCTACTGTAAGTCTGCCACAACCAGCTAACCTCCAGCAAAACAGAATTCTCAAATTATGAGTTAAAAAAAAAAAAAAAAAATAAGAACGAGCTCCCTTGTGAGAGTACAAAATTTTTCTCAAAAAAAAAAAAAAAAATTTAATTCAGCTGTTAGTCCCAGCCTCTGACCTCCCCCACAAAAAAAAAAAAAAACAAAAATATTTTATCTGGAGGCACAAAGATCACCCCACCCAGAAAAAAAAAAAAAAAGTTCCTTCGCATACACAAAAAAGAAGTTATCTAGAATCATGAAAAAAAAAAAAAAAAATAAAGGACCCTGCGTGCTAGAATAACCAGGTATCTTTCAAAAAAAAAAAAAAAAAAGCATCTCATATGTAGATCCAGCGCCACCGCCCTTAAGATCCTAAAAAAAAAAAAAAATTAACGCTATGTACATGGCTTAAAAACATCGAAATAGGTTATAAAAAAAAAAAAAAAGGGCTCCAAGAGGACTGCATTTAATGGGTTACAAGCCAGTAGGGGTGTGTAAAAAGCACAATCGCACAGGACAGCTATGAAGCAAGACAAAGTGGCTGGAAAAAAAAAAAAAAAGGGCGGTTTCCTAAGGCTCGCATAAGCATATCTGGGCTATTTAAAAAAAAAAAAAAAATAAGATGCAAAACTACCAGAAATGCAGGTTCGCTGCAACAAAAAAAAAAAAAAAAAAGCACAGAGGAGTAGCCTCCGCAAATTTCCACCTCTCACAAGAAAAAAAAAAAAAAAACCACCTGGATTTGCGCGGACGCCCGGTACCCACCTCCCGGCTCCCGGGAACCCGGCCAGTGCCTCTGGCGCACTCAACACAGGGGCAAGTGCTTGACTAAAAAAAAAAAAAAAAACGCTACAAACGGCCCAGGCCAGGAATCCAAGGAAAGACCTAAAAAAAAAAAAAAAGAACGCCGGAGACGGCTCTCGAAAAGTCTCCCGACAGGTCCTAAAAAAAAAAAAAAAGAAGAGGTCCCGACAGGGTTAGCCACGAGCCGCGCTCGCCAGCCAGCAGGGCACGGCCAGCCCAGGGCCTCCGGAGCCGCGACGCGAGCGGCCAGGGCCAAAAAAAAAAAAAAAGCGGCAGAACCGCGACGCCCAGGCAACTTTCGGTGCTTCCGGAAAAAAAAAAAAAAACAGCGCCCCGCAGAACTCCTCAGCTCCACAAGCCCAGGCCCCAAAAAAAAAAAAAAATCCGACACCTGGCTCGGAGACCTAAAGACCGACAGCCGCCTGAAAAAAAAAAAAAAACCGGCAACCCTACCTCCGCAAAAGCAAACGGCCCTTCGGGCGAAAAAAAAAAAAAAACTGCCGTCGTCCCTCCTCGGCCGCTGCGACAAACACCCCACAAAAAAAAAAAAAAAACGTCGCCCTACAATCCCCCGGGTCGCCTCTAGCGCCACCTACAAAAAAAAAAAAAAACTGCGTGACACAGCCTTGCGCGCTCCCGCCGCTCCACGTAAGGGCGGGGCTCCACGTGACGTAAGAGCGGGACCCGAGCCTCTGCACTGCGGCTGCGCGAAAAAAAAAAAAAAACCCCTTCCCCCGCCCCCGCCCCGCCCCCGCCCCGACTCCGTCAAAAAAAAAAAAAAAGGAGAAGGTGTTTAAGGTCTCGACGGGCTTGGGTGGAACCGGGGAGGAACGCCCGTGTCCCGCCCTAAGTGTGTAACGCGTGTCTGCCCTTTGAGGTGGAAAAAAAAAAAAAAAGGCACCTTTCAGCAGAGCCGGCTGGTGCCCGGTTTCCTGCTCTCCCAGCCGAGGGCGCCGCGCCATCGCGCTTTGCCTGCCCTTCCCCCGGGACCTGGACTCCGGAAGCCCCCGGCACGCGACCACGGCCCCCAAACCGCCCAAGGCGGGGCCTCGAAAAAAAAAAAAAAATTCCATGGACTGGGTGCTTGTAGTCCTGCCCACTTGGCGCTTAAAAAAAAAAAAAAATTCGGATAAAGAGGCTGTCCCAGAAAACAAGCTCAAGGGGTGAAAAAAAAAAAAAAACACGTGCTCCTATTCAGAACAAAACAAAAACCAGGAGGTTTCAAAAAAAAAAAAAAACAAGGTTTTCCTGTCAGGATCCCTACCTCCTGAGCAGAGCAGAAAAAAAAAAAAAAACCTAACAAAGTTCCCCCCCCCCCTTTTTTTTTTTTGTCCCTGAAAAAAAAAAAAAAACAACCAAGGCAGAAAAATGTCTCTGAGCTAGTGAGGGTCCGTTAAGGGGGCTTGCTTACCTCAAATAAGGTATTCTGCAGTTCTGAGAGCCCCCAGGCAAAAAAAAAAAAAAAATGTGGAGCATGAGAAATCTGAGGGTCAAAGTCGGAGCCCTATGGGAAACACTTAATGGCCAGAGGAAAAGGGGCCTGAGAAGGAACGAGCAGGAGAGGAAAAAAAAAAAAAAAAGGATGTCAAAGCAAGGGAGGGCTTAAGTGAGGGAAAGGGTCTAAAAAAAAAAAAAAAGCAGATCGTCGAGGGGACGGCGGGCAGGATGGGGGGGTGGGGAAAAAAAAAAAAAAACTGACGGTAATTCGCTGGATAAAAGGGAAAGTCAGAAATCAAAAAAAAAAAAAAAAAGTTGAACTCTTGTGGGTATTAGCCCAATAGCATGTGGGAGACAAAAAAAAAAAAAAAGTAAAAGGAGGGAACAGAAATGCCTTTAGTGATCTAACATTAAAAAAAAAAAAAAAAATCTGGTTTGGGTAAGTAGGGTAAATTTAGATAAATCTCGGAGATTGTACAGCATTTCAGAAAGTAAGTTGACATGACGAGTTGAATTTTCATGGAGATAAAAAAAAAAAAAAAGAAGTTGAAAAAGAAACTTGAAAAATTGGAAGGATAAACTCTAAAAAAAAAAAAAAAAAACAAATATTATTTTCGTCTAGAATAGCCACCATTTTTGCATCTACAAATTTAAATCTTACTCATCTTTGAAGGGCCATTTCTTTAAGGTGCTGTCTCAAAAAAAAAAAAAAACCCATTTCCCTGCCCCTGACTACTCCAGTGAGATGTGAAGTCAAAAAAAAAAAAAAAATCTGGAGCCACCTGGTATGCTAACAGATTTTTCCCAAAGAGTGAAATGTATTGGTTCTACAATTGATTACACATCCTATCTCCAGGGTATCTATTAGAAAAAAAAAAAAAAAAGTCTGGGCGATAGTACAAGGTAGAGTGGGGCTCAAATTGCAGAAAAAAAAAAAAAAAATTCAAGCTGGCACTAAAGAATGTTCTCCTGTTTCATGGAGTAAAAAAAAAAAAAAATCATGAGGTTATAAGACTGTGTGGTCAGGACAGCCCACAATTAAAAAAAAAAAAAAAACACTATGTTAAAAAGCAGCCACCTTGAAATGCCACCTACAGAGGCCTTTATATTATAGATGTCACACACACTGTTACCCAATAGTAGAGTCTGCTTTGTAATTACATTTATCTCGCTTTAGTGTTTTAATTTGTATGCCACCAGAAGGTCTAGTGAAAAAAAAAAAAAAATGATCAGAAGGAAGCTGAGAATGACTAGCACTTCTATGCTGTGTGATGCAGCACTATGGTGCCCCTAGTCACTCTCTGTGGCTTTGTGCTTAGTTTGGAAAAAAAAAAAAAAAATATATTGTCTTTGGCATCTCAGACCTAGAACCCAGTAAATCTAAAAAAAAAAAAAAAATAAGCTGCTTTGGGCTATTTTGCTCAGTTGGTTTAAGGTCAAAAAAAAAAAAAAAAAGGTAGAGATTTCATCCCAGGATCACTGCACCAGTTAGCTTACCACCCTTACATGGCAGCCTCAACCCTTCCTATTAAGTCAGTTACCTGCAAGACTTAAAAAAAAAAAAAAAATAAATTTCTGAGAATCTACTACCAATACCAGAAACACTGCCTAAAAAAAAAAAAAAATCTCTACACAAGAACAAGTATGTCCAAAAAAACCTTAGGTTAACTCGTGTCAAAAGCAACTAGTCAAAGGCTGGGCATGGTGGCTCACGCCTGTAATCTAAAAAAAAAAAAAAAGGTGGGTGGATCACTTGAGCCCAGGAGTTTAAGACTAGCCTAGCCAACATGGTGAAACCCCATCTCTACAAAAAATACAGAAAAAAAATTGGCTGGACAAAAAAAAAAAAAAAAGTAGTCCCAGCTACTTGGGAGGCTGAGGTGGGAGGATGGTTTAAAAAAAAAAAAAAAAGGTTGCAGTGAGCCAAGATTGTGCAACTGCACTCCAGCCTGAAAAAAAAAAAAAAACCCTGTCTCAAAAGCAAAAACAAAAACAACTAGTTTAAGACATTTTGTGGTCGGGCGCTGTGGCTCACACCTGTAATCCCAACACTTCAGGAGGCCAAGGCGGGAGGATCACGAGGTCAGGAGTTCAAGACCAGTCTGGCCAATATGGTGAAACCCCGTCTCTACTAAAAATACAAAAATTAGCTGGGCGTGGTGGTGAGTATCTGTGCTCCCAAAAAAAAAAAAAAATGAGGCAGAAGAATCACTTGAACCCAGGAGGTGGGGCAGCAGAAAAAAAAAAAAAAACCACTGCACTCCAGTCTGGATGACAGAGCGAGACTCCGTCTCAAAAAAAAAAAAAAAGAAATTTTTAGCTTCAAAGAGCAACCAGAGGAATATTCTCATCACACATTCCAGGATATATATACTACATACTTACCTTCAGAAAACACTCATATATGAAAGCCAAGTTCTAGAGTAAATATCTAAATTATTGTGTAAATTAAAAGCTTATTATCTTATAGAGTAACCTTTACAAAGGTATAAACCTTTGCCATTATAACCTCTGTTATTAGCTGCTCGTTATTGATATTTACTAATTAGACTTGCTTTTAGCTATCAAATATACATTCTGTGCTAACCACTTTATATACATGATCTCATTTAATCATCTGAATCCTATAAAGTGATCATTGGCTATTTGCCCTAGATCAGTTATCAAGTCCCGGAATCAGGATTCAAACCCAGACCTTGCTTGCTCCAAAGCTCTTGTGTTTAATCTGTTCTACTGACTGCTTCAACTTACACAGCAACTTACTTCACTTAGTCATTAGAGCAAACATCTGAGTCCATCTTTCAGCAAGATCAAAGGTTTGTCTTAAAAAATCACTTTCCAAGGTAATATATCATCGAAGGCTTTTCACGATGACACAATGGGTCAGTTTATCTCCAGCACATCAAGGTCACTAAAGGTCTCAGTGCCTTATTTGCTATTTAACACTGAGTCACAAAGGGTCTCCCAGGCATCCCACACTGTCCCAAATGAGTAACATCCCAGGTGTCTCCAGTGTTTCCTGATACTATAAAGCAAGATTCAGTGGCAACAAGCGGTGCTAGAAGCATTCGTTGGTTCACAACACACTTTGCAGTGTACATGTGAGGTGGGCAGTGGAAGGGTCCAGGGAGGGATTTAGCTCAGACGTTCTGTAGGGGAATATGATAGGCTGGAAGTCCAGCCTCCTTGTCAGTTTCTGCTACCACCAATGAAGGGGTTTCAGAGCTGAGTGACAGCTGAGTGTGCCTTTGGATATACCTGCCATATGGACTGCAGTAACCTCCAGGACTTCTCATGCTATTGGTTCTGGAAACTGTAGCATATCAACAATTTACCATATGTCCTGCCATTTCATGTCCAAACGCCCTCGAAAGAGGAAGTAATAATTTAAGCAGACGCAGTGATGGATTGTTACCTGCAGTGGATTAGCCATGTCATCCCTCTCCATTGATACAGAAAATCAGGAATTGAACTGAGATTTTTTTTTTTTTTGTCAATTTCAATTATTGGCTTGATATGGAGTCCCTGGGTTTCAGAGCAGTCCCTACAATGTCTTATTGATTTCCTAATGTCTATCACTCATTACCCTATAGGCCATTGTACCCCAACACTGATCTGATTCAAATCACATTAAAAAAAATTTCCCAGATGTGTTTTCTCTAATGAATCTATGTAGTGATTTTCCCCCAGCGTTTAAACCTGATTATAAAAGTATCCTGGTTGACTATGTTATCATTGTAGATCAGACATCAGACTAAGACTGTGATTGTCTTGGACAATCTACAGGTCTGTGTTGGACAAGCCTGTGTATACAGAGGCATTCACAAGAGCTAAATGCCCTCTGTAGAGGCCATGTCTCATCCAGGTTAGTAAATTAGGGCTTCTCAGCCCTCACTACCAATATCCTCAACTATCAACCATCCAATGAAACATTAAAAAGAAAGTATATTTACCTAAATCCTAAATATTTAAGGAACATTGTAGAATCCTACATAAAAGTATGAAAATATGTAACATGTATTTGTCTCTAAATCTTCTAGGGTTACTCTTTATTTTAATCTATGAATATCAATGTCCCATTTCATGTAATTATAGGAAGTACAGCATCCTTCAGAGTATTCTGATGACTTCTGGAGAGGAGGTTAACTTTTCTGGTAGCCCCTGTCACGTCTTACTCTGATTTCTGTCCTGGCTTCGTCTCTCAGTTCCCCTATACTATCTCATCTGCAATTGCTGTCCTTACTTCATAAAGTTTTGTGCCAACTATGGACACAGATCCTTTGTCCTTTATTTCCCAAAGCCTATTAATACACAGCTTTAATGAGGAATAGGCTTAAAACTTTAAGGATGCAGGACCAGGCACAGTGGATCATGCCTATAATCCCAGCACTCTGGGAGGCCAAGGCGGGCAGATCACGAGGTCAGGAGATCGAGACCATCCTGGCTAACACGGTGAAACCCCGTCTCTACTAAAAAACACAAAAAAATAAGCGGGGCTTGGGGGCGGGCGCCTGTAGTCTCAGCTACTCGGAGGCTGAGGCAGGAGAATGGCATGAACCCGGGAGGTGGAGCTTGCAGTGAGCCAAGATCATGCCACTGCATTCCAGCCTGGGCGACAGAGTGAGACTCTGTCTCAGAAAAAAAAAAAAACCTTGAGGCTGCAGGAGTCCCCCTGCGTTAGTCTGTTTTCACACTGCTATAAAGAACTTCGTGGCAACTGGGTAATTTATAAAGGAGAGAGGTTTAATTGACTCACAGTTCCACATGGCTGGGAAGGCCGCAGGAAGCTTATAATCATGGCACAAGGGGAAGCAGGCACCTTCCTCACAAGGCAACAGGGGAGAGAAGTGTGTGTGAAAGAGGAATTGTCAAATACTTATAAAAGCATCAGATCTCATGAGAACTCACTGGCTATCAGGAGAACAGCATGGGGGAAACCACCTCCCTGATCTAATCACCTCCCACCAGGTCCCTCTCTCAACACGTGGGGATTAGGGGATTACAATTTAAGATGAGATTTGGGTGAGGACACAGAGCTGACCATGTCATCCCATTTATCCTCGGTTTCACTTCACATGGTTTTAGTTACCCGCAGTCAACTGCAGTCAGAAAATATTAAATGGACAATTCCAGAAATAAAACCTCATATGTTTTAAATTGCACACTGTCGGGAGTAGTTTCATGAACTCTTGCATGGCCTGGCTCCCTCCTCCCCATGTGGTGAATCCTCCCTTTGTCCAGTGTATCCACGCTGTATCCCCTGCCTGACAGTCACTTGGAGCCATCTGGGTTGTCAGATCCACTGGAACAATATCACAGTGCTTGTGTTCAAGTAACCCTTACTGATAATAATTCTTGCCCCAATGCATGACAGCAGTGATGCTGGCCATTTGGGTATGCCAAAGAGAAGCTGCAAAGCGCTTCCTTAAAGTGGAAAGGTGAAAGTTCTCGACTTAAAGAAAGAAAGTAAAATCATATCCTGAGATTGCTAAGATCTACAACGAGAGCAAATCTTCTATTTGTAAAATTGTGAAGAAAAAATAAATTCATGCTAGTTTTGCTGTCATACCTCAAACTGCGTAAGTTACAGCCACAGTGCCCAATGAGTGCTTAGTGAAGATGGAAAAGGGATTACGTTTGTGGGTGGGAGACGTGAACAAAAACGTATTCCAATCAATGCCAACTGAGTTCAGTACTGTCTGTGGTTTCAGGCACCCACTGGGGGTCTTGGAACGTATCACTGAGGATACGAGGGGACTGAGATACTGGAGGGTGGGTACAGCACAGAAGTGAAAACAGCTTAAAATTTAGCATCAGAATTAACAATTCTGAAGGTGCCAAATCATTCCCCATTAAGTAGGGTCATTTCTTACTGGCCATTCTCTCCTTAGGTCCCAACCAACCAAGTTCCTTTGAATCATTCTCAACTTTTCTTTCAAGAACTCTCTCCTTTTGGGTGGGCGCGGTGGCTCACACCTGTAATTCCAGCACTTTGGGAGGCCGAGAGAGGCAGATTGCTTGAGGCCAGGAGTTCGAGACCAGCCTGGCCAACATAGAAAAACCCCGTCTTTACTAAAATTAGAAAAATTAGCCAGACACGGTGGTGCACACCTGTAATCCCAGCTACATCAGGAGGCTGAGGCACAAGAATTGCTTGAACCCAGGAGGCAGAGGTTGCAGTGAACCGAGATGGCACCACTGCACTCCAGCTGACCGACAGACTCCCTCCTTCCTTCCTTCTTTCCTTCTGTAATTTATTGGGCACTTATGTATGCCACATACTGTTCTTGATGCTAAAGATACAAAAGTATATAAGACAAAGTGCCTATCCCCATGGAGGTTAGGTTGCAGTGGAAGAGAGAAAAAAATGGAAATAAATAAAATACTTCAACATTTTCCATGTGCTATGAAAGAAACAAACCAGGGACTGAAGGAGGGCTTGCTTTAGGTGCATTGGTCAGAAAAGGGCTCTTGGCAGCTGTAACGTTTTAGTTGAAGCTAAAGGAAAAGGGGAAGCCGGACATGTGAAGGAGGGGATAAAACCTCCTGCAAGTCTCATTGAACTCCATGAGGAAATTGTGAGGATGCCCGGGGAAGTTTTGTGTGTCATAGGAAGAAAAACTTGGAAACAATGTAGAGATCCATCATTAGGGGAATGAATAAGTAGAAAATATATATGAATACTACATATCAGTTAAAAGCTATGAACTAGATTTATGTACAGCAGTATGAACAGACCTAAAAAACTTAATGTTGAGGGGAGAAAAAAACTCGGCGATTTACAAAACCATTTATGCAGATATTTAAAAACCCACAACTACCCTACATATTTTCAAGGCCACGTGTACATCTGAATAAGTGACTTTAGGAAAGATTGGAAGGACAATATATGAAACACACTGGAGATGTGCTTCTCAGAGGTCTGAACTTGGCATGGGAGACCACTGAGTTTCGGCATTCCGTTTCCTCTGCAGCTTTGCCACCTGACAATTAAATCCTTGGTCTGATTTTCAGCACAATGTTCCCTATGGCTGCAGCAGGCCTTCTGCCTCTACAGTGTGCTTTAACTTACAATTGACTGACCTGAGCTTGTCATTTTCCTTCTTCAAAGTTTTTTGTTTGTTTGTTGTTGTTGTTTGAGATGGAGTTTCACACTGTCACCCGTGCTGGAGTGCAGTGGCATGATCTCGGCTCACTGCAACCTCCGCCTCCTGGGTTCAAGCGATTCTCTTGCCTCAGCCTCCTGAGTATCTGGGACTACAGGCATGCACCACCATGCCCAGTTAATTTTTTTGCATTTTTAGTAGAGACAGTTTCACCATATTGGTCAGGCTGGTCTCAAACTCCTGACTTCAAATGATCTGCCCACCATGGCTTCTTAAAGTGTTGGGATTACAGGCGTGAGCCTGGCCTCAAAGTTTTAAACATAATCAAAGGCAGACAATTCTTACACAATGCTTATAATTGCCATTGCCCCTGTGCTATTCAAGTGCCTCCAGCTACTGCATCAGCCAGTGTTTCACCTCCACCTGGAAGTCATTCCAGTTCCCCACCAGTGGGGTTTTTCTAGATCCAAGGGCTACCTTCTTTTTCCTATTTTACCACCTTGTCTCCCTTAGAAGTAATGATGATGGTCATCATTACCTTATCACTATTTGCAAAGGGAATGCTTCTAATACCTACAGGTCACGTTTGGCAGGCTTCCAAATTAACCTGCCTAGGGAGGTCTTGTGGTTCCTGATGACCTTCTGTCCTGAGCAGAGAATCTTCTTGTGAGCTCCTCAGATTGTTGACATACTGATTAATGCATAACCCACTGACGTT